ACGGCGATTTAACTGCAGACGTTACAGGCTATAGGTTCGAATTTGTTGGAAATAATTTTATGAATTTTAATTAAGTTCAGAAGTTGCTTGATTCAAACTGCATTAGGCTTTTAGAGCTTACAGTTTTTATGCATTCTTTATATATGAAGTACATAATATTAATACATAATTAGGACGCCGTGTCCCTCATTGTTTCCACCCGCATGTTTCATGTTCGAAACTACACGACGGGTTTCGGGTTAATTTGGAATTTGGGAGAGAGGGGGGGGCCTCTTCATTAAAAATTATCGAGCGAATTTAATTATGATGCTCATTGCTTATTGCCTTACTGTATATTATGAATTTTTGGGTTATGATTCAGTGAAGTATGGTAGAAGGATATGTATGTTTCGAGGTCAAATATTGCCTCCATCTTCAGTGTCTACTCCCTACAATATAAATCTTCACCATAGTGGACTCTTCAAATGTCGTACTTCGCATGGGACACAAACTAAATCCTATGAAACACCTAAAAGACGGCCTAGTGTTATGAATTAGTACAGGTGCGTGATGTTAAATATAGATTTCATTGAAATCAACACTTTTTTAAATGTGTTGGAGTACTGAGCCGGTATAAGGACTGGCTACGGGCTGAACGGCCGAAGGGTCGGGGTTCAAGAATTTTCTCTTCTCCGTGTCATCCAGACTGGCTCTGCGGTTAACCCAACCTCCTATCCAACTGGTACGGGGCGCTTTTACGCCGGAGTTAAAGCGGCCGAGGCGTGAAGCTGGCCACACACCTCCAGCTAATGCCGAGATCAAGAAAATGTGGATCTATAATCCACTCTCCCATACGCCTTCAGGACGGAGTGTTTAATTGGTTAAGCACAGGGATAAATTTACCTTTTTACCTTACGTTTAAGTACAGAGAATACTTCAAAAAAATCAATTAACGTTTATTCAGTGCAATGTGATAGATCCAAATCCTATTTATAGTGCTATTAGCTTAGCAAGAATAGACTTGGATCTGAAATAAATGAACATCCATGCTAGTGAGATACGATATTCAAATGGGGGGGGGGGGCTCCTTCATTTAAATTCACTCCTAAAAGCGAATTAATCCGCTTGCTTCAGTTTTATGCTTTCGCATGTGCAATGCAGCTGTGATTAAGAAGCTCAGTCCATCCACCTTAGCTGAGTCTACAGCACACGCTGAGTGCCATCTGTTCTCTGCGCACGCTTCCGTCTCCCATTCAAAAACAATTGAATCGATAGCAGCGCCCGTCATTGCGAACGGCTGAAGCATGAAACTCGATCAGCACGTTGGTGTTTATCGTATTAACTTATTTAGCATTTCTCAGAAAGTGTATGAGAATTTTACGTGTCTTCAGTTGTTGTAATGTTGCTGCAACTGAGGAATCCTTTTGCCCAGTAGGAGTTACTTTACTGTAGGACGTAAAGTAATATAATACGGAAGTATGGAAGGAAGGAAGAGGTTCTATGGATAAGTCCAGTTCCTAATAATCAGCTAAATATATAACTCACGCCTAACTCCATGATTGGTCTTCCTTGAAGAATTGATAATTTTTTAATTTTTCACTAAGTTATCCTCTCTTTAATGGAAACTGAAGGTTCATTAATGTTTCAACAAAGCCGGCAATAGGCCGTGCCATAGCTGAAGCGGTTAGTCGCTGGTTTCCAACCGCGGCGTCCCGGGTTCGATCCCAGGTCTGGTCAAGTGGGATTTGTGGTGGACAAAGTGGCGCTGGGGCGGGTTTCCTCCCAGTACTTCGGTTTCCCCTGCCAATCTTCATTCCACCAAATTCTCCATCATCATAATCACCCGGGGCAGACTACAATAGGTCAGTCAGTGGCCGCCGTGCCGAGTGGACCCAGTTGGACTCCACCCCCCACTAAGCGAATTTTTAAGCCGGCACTATCCTGAGTCACTTCACCGAGTTCACGCCTTCACATCCCCTTTCTCTTACATTCACTTCAGTGTTCATTATGACATTCCCATGTAGTCTTCCCTATTTATGAAGCACTTCTTTCAGGCCTTCTACACGTACATGTCAACCCGATCTGAGAGTCCTTTATTTAACAATCTTAAACCATCGAGAATACTATATATATCACATTATTTAACATAAAGAAGCTTTGAATTTTGTCTACATTGCATATTTATGCTTTTAATATGATACTGAGAAGAGCCGGGATAGCTCAGTCGGTATAGCGACTAGTTATGGGCTGAACGACCGGGGAGTCGGAGTTCGAGGCCCGAAGGGGGCAAGAATTGCCACTTCTCCATGTCGTCCAGACCGGCTCTGGGGCACACCCAGCCTCCGGCTCTTTCCTCCGGGGATAATGCTGCTGGGGCGTGAAGCTGACCACTCACCTCCAACTTGTAACGAGGTCAAGAAAAGGTGAGTCTATACATCCATTCCCACACGCCTTCATGGCGTAGTGCTTAATTAGTTAAACACAGGGACAACTTTGCTTCAACTATATGGCACCGAGAATAATCAGCGATTAATTCCCTAAACAGATTAAACGAATTACCTCGTAATGTAAGGGAAGTGAACGTTCTGCGAAGCAGGAATTAATTTTTTTAAATGTCATTCAGAAGATTTTCAGAATTAAAATATATTAATAAACCGAACATTGTTAGGTCAAGTGTATTCTCTGTATGAATTTCCTCATTACATAACTTCTTCCACTCTCATGTTAGTTCCTCTTTTGAGTTCAAATATCCTCGGGACTGTGTTCTCAGACACCCTTGGTCTGCCTCCAGAGCGCGAAACCACGTCTTATGCCCATACAAAAATTGCGACACTAATTTATTTCAAATTCTTCCATCCGTTACAACGAGGCTAACAGAATGCATATAGAAATCAGTAGCTTGCTTCTGTGCACAGTTTACTTTAATGTACAATCCCATAACGGGTTGACACTTAACGGCCATGGATCTAGGTTAAGAAATGAATACTAGAAGCTTCCAGTTCACAAGCAGTTAACTCATAATACTTCGAATACCAGTAAAATTTCGAACCTTATTTTCCGCAGTATGTGCCATTTTCCCATTTCCATGAATCTGACGCACATTTGTACACCACCGCACAAATTTGTTCTCTTCGTTATGATGGTTTTACAGCACTGAGCGAATATGAAAAATAGTAAGCCATCTTTCTTCCAGCCATCCATTTTCATGGAAAGAGTATATATTAAGCCACAAAACTTTAAAATTATAGTCAAGACGGAGTAATGTTACTTAAAAAAAGTAAAGATATCCCTGTAACAGGCCGTGAAGGCCCATAGGGTTGTGAGACGTTGAGGGTCCCACATTTTCTAGACAATCGGCTCAAAGATGGCGGTAAGTTTGTCAGCCTTACGCGCCGGCCGCGCTTTACTCCCCAGGAAAATTATTTAATTAATTCCTGGTACTCATTTCTGTTAGAGGCTGAGTCGACCGTAGAGCCATAGTGCGGATGGAAGGATTAGATCAACGGAAAAAAATCCAATGACCTCATCGGGACTTGAACCCGCGACCTTCCAGCTTGTAGCATAGTGCCTCAACCAACTACGCTATCGCTTCCCCCCCCCCCTTGTTTTGAAAATACTGCCCGAAAACTCTCTTCAAGTGGTGGAGGATCGATTAATTAGTTATTTAATTATACCACATAATTACATTCGTTAGACCCTACATCCCTTGAAATGGTAAAATATATTTGAACTGGAAAAGAAATGGCAGATAACGGCCATGCAAAGTTCCACTACAGAAATACTGGAAGCCTGAAGAACTTCATGGAGGCTTCCCTCACGCTAATCTGAAATAGGCTGCGTTTGGAAACCGGAACTTTTTGAATATAAAGAAGGCTATTAGCCTCTCAGCTTTGACGTTCGGTGGCAAGCAGATGGAAAGGAAAAATCAGTCCCCTTTCATCATAACCTGCATTTTCACATGGCTATTTGTTATAAAAATATATGTCTAAACACAGTTCACTCTGTCAGTAACACTTCATATGTTTGACAATTTTCGTATGATGATGCTGGTTCTTTGTTAAGCTTGTAGCAAGGTCGAAATGATAAATGACGTGTCGTTTGGGCCACCCTCGCCGAGGACTTAATGTTCCGTGTCAGACGACACACGTGCTGCCACCCTCGAGTCGAAATTAACAGTCATTAACGGGAGCGACACCTTATGTGTAATGGATGCGTTGACAACTGTTTGCTTGCCGGCCGACTGGTTAGCTAAGCTGCAGCACCGCCCGGACCACGTGGATCCACTTCAGTCTGAGGATCATAGGAACTTTGAAAGTTTACTTCCTTCACTGGCATTCATGTTCCGTTGCTGGAGATTCGAATCTATTGATATGTGGGTCGCAATGACGAGAATGTTGGTGTAAGCCTAGCGGTTGTATTCTGGGGGCAGAGACGGTGCTGCTCCAGGACACGATAAATTCTGCCCCTCTTTCCGCAGGCACAAAAATGTTAGCTTTGTGGAAACGTTTTCACATTCAGGAGACAGAATAACATAATATGTTTAGATTAACGCCAATGGCGACAAGAATGAAAGGGGAAGCACAAATTATATTTCACTTAACAAAAAACAGGAGAGGGAGTTTGTAAAAGTTGCCACTCTTAAAGTCTTGGCGCTCTAGGCGGCCGGTTAAGTCGCCTATTCTCTCGCACCGCCATTATCTGAGTTGCAGGATAGCGTAGTCGGTGTAGCGACTGAGGGGTCGGAGTTCGAGTCCCGGTAGAGTAAAGTATGTTCTCTACGTCGTCCAGACCAGCACTGGGACCCACCCAGCCTCCTATGGAATGTGTACCGGGGGCTCTTTCCCTGGAGTTAAAGCGGCAGGGTCGTGAAGCTGAACACTCACCTCCAACTAATGTCGAGGTCAAGAAAATGTGGATCTATACATCTACTCCTCCATACGCCTTCATGGCATAGTGTTTAATTAGTTAAGCATAGAGACAACTTCAATTTTACCTTTTACCCGTTTCGAATCTTGGCGGTATTGCTGGCTATACTGACAGAGAAGTATCTTGGTTTTCCTTCTTCGTTGTTTTACTCGGTCTCTCCAAGTAAACGTCCGGGTCTTCTAACATGTTGATTCTCGTGATTTTGTATGACTTCTGGTTGTTGCCTGCACCATTGTGTAATATGATTGTATACATACGAAAGTTTGAAAGCCATGTGCAAATAACGGACCGGTGTGGATCTTGGAAAATTTCCAATTGTGCGGAGAACGTTGTTTCGGGCGCTGCAACTTTAGCACACTGTTGCCGGGATACGTAAAATTGCGTTTCTTTTTGCAGCACTATATTTACCAGTATTATTCTCCCATCTAACGGAGATTTGCTCAACTTCTAACTATATATACCTTGATTAGAATATTTCTAGACGTCTACGTACATATTGGTTTTCTTTTACAACGTTTCGTTTCTTTTTAAAAAAGTTTCGTAGGTCTTGTTTTTCTACCTTCTGTCTAATCTAGTCTCAAGATGGAACGCCGAAGGCAGAAGGTTTGCTAGACGATTAAGCTGTGCAAGAATTACATGTAGATCGCTTGTCAGATGTTCTAAGTGATTGTGAAAGTGATAAAAGTGTAATGATAAATAAATAAATATATAAATAAATAAATAGATGGTGGTGACGACGATGAATTTGGATCCTCAACGTCACAGAAAGGCAGAAAATGGGCGAGGTTGAAGGTAAGTGAATGAACCGCAAATATTAAGGTTAATAACGTTGATGGTGGATGGACTGGAAGTAGTGATTTAAGACATTTAGAACAGTTTTTAAGTAAGACTGATCTCACATTTACACTCGAAGATCCAACCGGTATTACTAAAGCAGTGAACCGTTTTCTTGGAAAGGATTTTCTTTAAATTCTTATAGAGCAATCGAATTTATACTATGTAAGATTTGAGATTTTCACGGCGGTGACTATGAAGAAAGCAGTCTTCTGGGATGTGGCACCGTGTAGATGTGGTGTCAACCGACGTTTCGGAGGAACGTATCGCCTCCATCTTCAAGGTAGAAGGAAAAATAAGAAAATCCGCGAGCGAGGAGACCGTGAGAACCGGTACAAGCAGACTGGTACCGGTTCTCTTCGCTTGCGGATTTTCATAATTTCCTTCTACTCTGAAGATGGAGGCGATACGTTCCTCCGAAACGTCGGTTGACACCACATCTACACGGTGCCACATCCCAGAAGACTGCTTTCTTCATAGTCACCGCCGTGAAAA